CCCAAACATTCGGAGCAGAGTTCAAGTCATTTCCCAACATCCCTGGCTTTTTTCACTACAGAATTCACAGACAATTCCCCATTCTCTAATAAAAAAGCACTGCAGACCTAGATTCTGAACATCAAAAATGACAATGTCCATCTAGAATGTCTCTGGGGCTGCTAAAATCACATGGGTATTCACACCCAACAAAACAACAGCAAAGGTTCAGGTCACCAACAGTTGGTGCGTTTGCAGCCAGAACAGAGACACGCCACTAGGGGGCACTGCCCTGGAAGTAATAAGGAAACAACTGAGAAACTCTTTGGTGTTTTCTTTTCCTTCTTAAGCTTAAGCAACAAAACATCTAAAGCTTTGCCAAAGAAAACACAAAGTGGGCGCCCTGGGGTTCTAGAATGACCCAGAGACCTTCTGCCTCCTCTTTGAAGCAATACTTTGGCAGAGGAAGGCAACTAGATCTTAAACTCAACAACCCTTCCAAAGAAAGGTTTCTGATTTCTCCTAGATCAATTGACACCAAGGGCTGTCTTGAGCCCCCCAGCCCCTTAAAAGCAGAGAGGTCCACAAGAAGGACAAGCCAATCTATAGGTCTGGCATGAAGACCCAGCTCTGGGACTTGGCTAGGGCTCTTTTAAGGCATACCAAGCCAAGGACAAGCCTCAAGTTTGGGCTGCAGACACAGGATGACACAGACAGCAATCAGTAAAAAGCATGCAAGGGATTATCTGGGCTTTCCCAAGTCTTATATACAGCAGGGGGAGCTCCAGTGCCTCACGTCAGAACTGGACTTTCAGAACATGCACAAGGGCTTCTCCAAATTTCTTCACCCTTTCCACAAGTGTGTGTATACACAGTATAATGTTCAATGTCCTTTTTTAATGTTCCAAAAGCCCTGGGTTTTTCAAAACTCTGCGAGTACATTCCTTCTCATTTCCTTGTGAATTCTGGGCCACGCTGCACACCCTACTGACTATGAAAAACCTGCTTTTTCCTAAGAAGCCTGTCTGGGAGACGGCAGCCAAACCCACACAGGGACCAAGGGTTGCAGGACCAACCGAGCCTCTGCTCCTCGTGCACCTGTGGAGAGCCAGGAGGGGAACTGGGGAGCTCCCTGCCAGGCCTGCCTGTGTGTGCCACTTCAGATTACCACTTGCCCTCTGCAACAAGGCTAAGAAAGTCCAACTGATCTGGGGACTCCACCAGGGACAAAAATGCAAGTGGAGCCCCTCTTCAAAAATCTATCAAGTGGGGCTGGGAAGGTGGCTCAGTGGTAGAGCACTTGCCTTGCATGCATGAGGCCCTGGGTTCAATTCCTCAGCACCACATAAGCAAAAAGAAAAAAGCCAGAAGTGGCGCTGTGGCTCAAGTGGTAGAGTGCTAGCCTTGAGCTGAAGAGCTGAGGGACAGCGCCCAGGCCCAGAGTTCAGGCCCCACGACCGGACCCCCCCCCAGGCATTCACGGAGAGGGGGCATATTGGAGAGCTTTTCAGAGGCAAGTCAGTTGTGGAGCAAGACAAGCACACCTGACCCGAGACTCGGTGCTGCTTCTGTATTTGATTAAGAATCAGATCTATGAAAGCCTCCAACACAGTGAGAAGGGGGAGCCCAGCCCCGACGACCATTGTACCCCATTATCCATGTATTTATCCAGTACCCTCTGCACCACTCCCAGGCGAGGTACCCCACCCCTCTTGCTGATGAGCCCCCCTTCTCAGACACGTGGCCCCGAATCACCACCCCGGCCCATTCGCAAGGCTACTGCGAAGCTCTAATGAGACAGCAAATCAACACACACAAGCCAAGTACAGCTCCTCGCCTCGACTGGGCTTAAACGGGTGTCATGCAATGACAGCGTGAGGGGCTGAGCGCAGGAGGGGCACGTAGTAGGTGCTCCACACACGCCGGCACCCTTCTCCACTAAAGGGAAAGGAGGCAGAAGAGGAAAAACCGCCGGTCCCAAAGTACCTTTAAGCCCCTGGCCGGCAGCGTGGGCTCCCCAGCCTCCCGGGTCCCACCGTCAACCCCAGCCGCGCTCCCACCGCGTCCAGGGCGGCTGGGGGAGCTCGTGGGCGGGCCACGGTGCACCTGAGTGCGACGGTCCGAGCCCATCGCCCACGCTGGCCGCGGATTTCCTCGGGCACAGCCTATGGCCCCACGACCACCTCGCGGCTCGGAAGCAGCCTCCCTGCGCACCGCTCCTTCCCGTTTGGCTCTCGCGTCCCCAGCCGCCGCAGGGGCTGCGCCGGGCGCCGGCCGGGGGTCCCCGGGAGCCGGCGCCGGGTCCCTCCTTACCTGCACAGCTCGGCGAAGGCCTGGAAATTGAGCTTCTTGATTTTCTTCTCGCTCAGCCAGTAGCCAACCCTCTTCCCTTTCAGGAAGGTCTGCATCTTCCTCCTCGGGCGGGGAGTCTGGGTCCGGAGGAAATCGCCCACAGGCCGAGAGCGGGGCCGGCGCGCGCCGCGAGCGTGCGGGAACCTCCTCCGGTGGCGGGGACGCGGAGCGGGC